CAGTTCCATTGGCAGCCATACATGCCCACGCCATGACACTAGCACCACCATGCTTCACTGATGAGGTGGTATGCTTAGGATCATGAGCAGTTCCTTTCCTTCTCCATACTCTTCTCTTCCCATCACTCTGGTACAAGTTGATCTTGGTCTCATCTGTCCATAGGATGTTGTTCCAGAACTGTGAAGGCTTTTTTAGATGTCGTTTGGCAAACTCTAATCTGGCCTTCCTGTTTTTGAGGCTCACCAATGGTTTACATCTTGTGGTGAACCCTCTGTATTCACTCTGGTGAAGTCTTCTCTTGATTGTTGAATTTAACACACATACACCTACCTCCTGGAGAGTGTTCTTGATCTGGCCAACTGTTGTGAAGGGTGTTTTCTTCACCAGGGAAAGAATTCTTCGGTCACCCACCACAGTTGTTTTCCGTGGTCTTCCGGGTCTTTTAGTGTTGCTGAGCTCACTTGCGTTCTTCCTTTTAAGAATGTTTCAAACAGTTGTTTTGGCCACGCCTAATGTTTTTGCTATATCTCTGATGGGTTTGTTTTGTTTTTTCAGCCTAATGATGGCTTGCTTCACTGATAGTGACAGCTCTTTGGATCTCATCTTGAGAGTTGACAGCAACAGATTCCAAATGCAAATAGCACACTTGAAATGAACTCTGGACCTTTTATCTGCTCATTGAAATTGGGATAATGAGGGAATAACACACAGCTGGCCAAGGAACAGCTAAGAAGCCAATTGTCCCATTGCTTTTGGTCCCTTAACAAGTGGGAGGCACATATGCAAACTGTTGTAATTCCTACACCGTTCACCTGATTTGGATGTAAATACCCTCAAGTTAAAGCTGACAGTCTGCAGTTAAAGCACATCTTGTTTGTTTCATTTCAAATCCATTGTGGTGGTGTATAGAGCCAAAAATGTTAGAATTGTGCCGATGTCCCAATATTTATGGACCTGACTGTATAACTCCTGCTACGACTGCAACATGTGTACACCTCTGGCCACTGCAGCTAAGGGGAATGTAGTTGGGGTGAGGGTGGTAAAAACACATCCTAACAATGGGCTTATACCACCCCCCAAACATCAAATGTAACTAACCCTTACTGTTCTTAGCCCTCTATAAGCTTGCTTTCACACTGACGTACTGCGGTTCACCTAGACCTGCATCTGCGACTTTCCTGGGTTTGCTGCGCTTTGCCATAGACTTCTATTATATCCTGCAAGTGTGGTGCACTTTCTAAAAGTGCATCAAAACTCCTGCATTCAGGAGTTTTGGTACGCTTTCAGAAAGTGCACCATACCCGCAGGATATAATAGAAGTCTATGGATAAGCGCAGCCAACCCGCAGGAAGCTGCAGGTACACGGCACTGCACCTGCAGTGTGGTGTAATCCGCAGCACATCAGTGCGAAAGCAGCCCTATACAATTATGCCCAATGTATTGCTTCACACTGACCTGCAGATCTCTTCTTTCCTGCTGCTGGCACAACTCTGGAGACCGCTAGCCTATAAGTGGAGTGCAGTTGGTATCACTCCGCATAGGACAGGAGCCAGTACTACAGAGAAGACATCGGCTTATGTGGCTCTTGCTCCCTATTACAGCTCCAACTTTATTAAGTAGTCCCTCTGCAGTGCACTCTGTTTAATGTTCTGGGTTGGAGATTCAGCAAGCCCAGACTGCGATCTACACCTGGCCATGATCTAATGGTAGATCATGATCTGCTGGTTGCTGATCCCTGTTCTAAACTGTTAACTGTCTTGTCAACTAAATCCTGGTCTTCTGCTAGGAGGTACAGGATTAAGGCCTAAATGCAGCCAAAATGTAAAAAAAAAAAAACAGCAGGATGTACCACTTGTGCTGATGCCTCTTCTGTTGGCTGCAGCAGCTGACTGGCAAAAGTTTTTCAGCTTGTTCAATTGACAGATCAATCTGACAATTGAATCAGAATCAATTTTGTCAGACAGGGATAGCCACACACTAATAGAAATTCTGCCCTGTTGCTGCTGAAGCAGCCAGATATCGATATGTTTATGGCCAGCTTTTGACCCCATTGGATTGGAGTCTGTCTGTAGAGGGTGTGCTCGTCTGTGAGAAGTGTATATGCCTGGAGACCATGCTGTGCTAATCTGACCTATGCCAAATTATTCATTGAAACAGAGAAATACTAGAACCTCCAGTTTTGTGGCAGCTATACTGCAGACGTACTGCATGATTCTTCTTGATGCTGAGACCCACCAGGCAACTTTTAGCCTGGGAAGCTGTTGGGGCACCACCATTGAGTTTTAAATTATTCCACCTTCCTCCTGTTCTATCTTCTATCAAATTCATGAATAAACAGTTAAACTGCTGTAGCACTTTCTCCCCGTAGGAGCCACTGATGTCTGAATCCCCTAATTCCTGATGTCAACAGCCTTCTCGATTCTCAATGCCAAACCCCCAGACACACTGAAGAGGGAATATTTATTTGTGCAACATATGTAGCAAATTAAGAAAAATGGCAATAACAATGAACAAGTGTACAATAACAGATACCAATATTAAAAATGATGATAGTACCAAATGTCTCACCCCCAGTGGCCAGTGTGCTGTTGATTGTTGAGGGAGTTTACCATTGGAGCTCTCATATATAAGTGGATCCCACAATGCTGGGTGTAGATGCATCCTAAAAATAGGTGACACTGCCCCTTCAAGAAGTGGGCAGAAAGTTGTCGCCAGCAGCTTGTCATGGCCAAATGATCTGTCTGAACATGTCATCCACGAGATAGGACTCAGCGAAGATGATCTCCCACAGTAGTATGGCCAATATGTTTTTTGGTCATACTTCTCTTGTGGGTCACAGAAGTGCACTTACTTCTCCTGTAACCAAAAATGTTGGAATTCAGTGTTCATGTATTTTTCAACAACTACTTCAGTGTTCAGTAGACATTTATTCTTCAACCAGCAGATGGAAGTGTTTGAAAGTTTGTAGCTGCATCAATGATAAAACTCTTTTTCTGTATAATAAAAGTTCCTGTTAACTGTTAGAAGAAAAGCAGTACAGTGTTCTGTAGGTTATGGGCCCAGACACCCAGTCATAGCCAACTACAGTAAATGGGTGCAAGACACTGCAACAGAAAGAAGACTGCAATAGAAATAAAAGAAAATGGCCAGTAACACAGCTGCAACAAAGCTTTCATTTGCAAATCTGACAAACCAGAACTACCAGTCTTGGAAATTCAAGATGAAAATGCTGCTAATAAGAGAAGGTACGTGGAAATGTATAAATGAAGTCAGATCAGGACACCCTTCAGATGAGTGGATAGAAAAAGACCAGAAAGCTCAGAGCACAATCTCTCTTAGCATGCAAGATGATCAAATCAAACATATATAAGTGTGAAACTGCTAAAGAAATGTGGGAAGGATTTCAAAAGTTGCATGAAGGAGCTAATCTCAGCAATAAACTGTATTTGATTAGAAAGCTATACCAAACCAAGATCATGAAAGGCCAAGATATGCAGGATTACATAAGGCTTAGAAATGGTTGAACGCCTGACAGGTATAGGAGAAGAAATAAAAGATTGTCATGTCGCAGCACTATTACTTAGTGGTTTACCAGAAAGTTATGAACCGCTTGTCACAGCACTTGATGCACGTCCAGATGATAAAGTGACAATGAACACATGCCTGTTTTGTATGCAAGAAACAACATCATTTAAAAGCAGATTGCAGAATCTAGAAAGCTAAATTGCAAAATCAAGCTAAACTACAAAAGGCCAAAAGTGTGAAGGAAGAATCTAATTTTTCTTCAGATAATATGTTTTTTAATTCAAAAGTCACACCTTGTCTTTTCAGGCATGGTGTGTTGATTCAGCAGCTACAAGTCACATTATAAATGACAAAAAATTCTTTATTCACCTTGACCAGAGTAAAACAGAAAAAAATCACCACAGCTAATGGGCAAATAATGAAATCAGAAGGAGTAGGAGATGGTTTTATTTACTGTCCTATTTTCCAGAGTGAGTGTCACCAAAAGGATACCTGTGAAAAATGTCCTGTATGTCCCTGCTCTTGAAACTAATCTTTTGTCAGTGAAGAAGCTCACAAAACAAGGCAATGTAGTGAGAGATAGCCTATTGGGTGTTCATACTTTTTCTTTCTACACTGGTTGGATGGGTTCTCTGGACCATATGTGCTTTTTTCTACAATTTAGTGACCTTCCAAGATGACAGCTGTGCCATCACAAAAGGGGATATCTTACCCACAAAGGCTAAAATTATAGATGAACTGGATCAGCTGAGCTGCAATGAGGTGGTTAATACTGCCAAGGAGAAAAAAAAACATTCAAACTGCATTCACACATGACACAGATGACTTGGGCACAGAAGTCTGGACATAATAAAGAAATTAACTGAGAATAACTATGTCAGTGAACTAAAAATAGGTCCATGTAATCAAACAATGAAATGCACCAACTGTATAAAAGAAAAAAGACAAGAAAAGATTCCAAATCAGAGTAAGAGCAGAGCTAAAAAAAAAAAAAAAAAAAAACCTCTGGACTTAAATCATTTAGATCTTTGTGGTCTACTGGAAAAAGTGACCCCAGGAAAGAAGAGGTATTTTCTCACTTTTTATAGATGATTACTCCAGGTATACTACACAGTGAGCTCCTTTCACAGAAGCAGATTGCATGTGGTAATTAGGTGTCCAGACACATTTTGCTTAAATATTGCCTGTGATCCTGAAACTGTCAATTTAGTATACCATTTTGCGGTATTTACAGCAAAACGCTCAAAACATTTGGTAAATACCACATGAAAAGGAGTTAAACTCAATTCACAGGAAATAAGGAAGGAAATAAAAAAATTAATTGCATGCGGTAATTAACGTATTTTTCATCAATAAGATGCACTTTTTTACCCCCAAAAAAGTGGGGAAAATGTCAGTGCGTCTTATGGAGCGAATATAAAGCAGCTGGTCCGGTATTTCTGCTGCCACCATGTCAGAATACCGGGCCGGCCGCTCAGCTGTTCTCTGCTGCAGGACCTTACCTGTTCCTCAGTCCAGCGCTGTAGTTTTTCCACGCACCGGCATCTGTGACAGCCGGGTGCCCACTGCGCATGCGCAAGAAGCACTGTGCTTTGTGAATGGTCCGGCGTCTTCTGGGACACATGACAGGTCTCTGGTCATCTCCTGTACTGTGCCCGCAGTCTCTGGTCATCTCCTGTACTGTGTCCGCAGTCTCTGGTCCATCTCCTGTACTGTGTCCGCAGTCTCTAGTCCATCTCCTGTACTGTGTCCGCAGTCTCTGGTCATTTCCTGTACTATGTCTGCAGTCCATTGGTTCAGAATATATATTTTTTTGTTTTTCTCCTCTAAAACCTAGGTGCGTCTTATGGTCAGGTGCGTCTTATGGAACAAAAAATGCGGTAAGTAGTGGTCTAGGCATTAGGTATTTGAGAAATGTAAAATTATAATAGGCAAATGTAATTTTCCTTTTTGGATTAGTTCTCTCAGTAATGCACGGAAACCCTAAATATGAAAATCATTGCGGTTGATTTACTAAAGGAAAAACTTTTTTCAGTATTGGATAGAGTGGAGGTGGGTTAGAACACCTGTCAGGTTATGATTATTGTCTGTGTCCCCATTAGATTCACTTTCTCTATTTGTCCTGTTTACCATTATCATTGAAAGTGAAAGTAAAAGAAAATCACAAATGTTGGGTTGTCCCCAAAAAACTAATAGGGGGACATCTTTCAATGAGGACACTGATGGCAAAAAAAAAAAAAAACTGACAGTGGTTATAACCATCCCTTACTCTATCCAAAATGAAAAAAATGTGCCTATAGTTCTTTAAGGCAAGTGTAAGGAGCATTCTTCGCACTGACCATCACACTAATGCATCATGAGTTGTAGATATAGTAATTTTGAGCAGGGGTTGTTCTCTGAGACTGGAAAATATTTCAAGGGTTCCTGAAAATGTTTAGAAAGGCTGCTTGAAAGTGTAATTGAAGGCAAAACTTTCTTTTACAAGGGTTTTGCTTGAAATTTTGGAGGGATAGATCCTCTGTCAGGTGTTTTTCTTATATTTTTTGCAATCTGTGTCACCATTAGAAGATGTCATACTGTGTGTTCTGGGTAATGTCTGTTCTGTATGGCTATATACAGACTCTCTAAAAATCAGCCAACAGTGAGCCAAAGCCCACTGTCGGCTGAAATTACAGAGCCGCTCCAAGCTCTTCAAAGATCTCAAGAATATTGTCAGGATCCATCCAGCTGTCTATTTGACAGCTGGCCTTGGAACTTCAGATCTGATAGCCGAAACCAGCTGCAATCCCCCCTCTCCAGTGAGCACTGCAGGAGCAGTGGAGAGTGGAGAGGGGGTATAAGAAGACCAATCAGCGGTCATGTGATCACTCAGTTCCTCAGTTCTCAGGCTTAGAACTGGAAGTGGACAGCTGCAGCGTCAGACTGATGTTGCAGCATGGAGGTGAGAATGTCTGTTTCTTTTATTAACAACCTCAGGGTGGTTGTAGCGCAGCTCCGCTTTCTTCACCCGGTTTTACCTGTTGAATGTAACATCCTGTTTAATTCTTGCTGCAGCTGCAATACAAAGCATTGCGACCTCTGCATAGGTACAGCCCTGAGCGGCTGCATATCTGTGTTTAGGAGACTGGTCAGGGGATAGCAAAACCACGACTCAGCTGCCTGCTTTTACCATTCCCTGCCCGCCTGTGTGACTGAGCCCTCAGAGCATAGGGCAATGAAGCATACAAGTGTTAACAGGGGCAATTACAAAGGAGGGGGTTCTGCATGTTAAAGTGGTTGTAAACCCATACATATAGCCAGTGGAGTGACTGGCCTCTGATGATACACAGAGATTAAACAAATTCTCCTACATAGGTTCTACCTGTTTATCTCCAGTCTTCTCTTCTCTACATCTGTTGAATGTACTCAATTTATAAAGCTTGTCTGAGAGTTCAGAGAAAAGGGGGTGAAGAGCTGAAGTTACACTCTACAGAGCTCAGTAAGGAGAGCTCTGAGAGCTGATTGGAGGGAAGGGACACCCCCCCCCCCTTCCCACAGGAACAGAGCTGAGGCTGTCAATCTGCTGAAGGTCCCTCCCCTGTCACCATTTATCTCTCAGTGTCAGGAAAACTTGTCAGACGTTATTAATGCTGATAGGAAACAGCAGACAGAAAATGACACTTAGCCCTAGTTCAATCTGAATTCGACTTTGAAATAATGCGACTTTGCACGCTTTCAAAGCTGCAGGTAACTGAGATTTCAGGTGCAACTTGCATAGACATCTGTGCAGGAACCTTTTTTTCAAATTGGTGCGGCACTGCAAAGTTGGAGTTGCACCGTTTTGAACTTTTCTATTGCCGACAATAAGGTGCGACTTGTCATGTGATTTGGAACTGTTAAATCACATGACAAATTGCACCATGTGGAACAGGGCTTAGGGAGAGATTTACTAAAACTGGTGCACTCGGAATCCGGTGAAGCTGTGCATGGTAGCCAATCAGCTTCTAACTTCAGCTTGTTCAGTTAGACTTTGGATGAGGGGATGGGCTGGGCACTAAGGAGCACACAGCTCTGGGGCCAGGAAAGAAATGGAATGATCAGGGTTTGATCAGTGCAGTGGTGGGAGCAGTGGCAAGAAGCGATCTCCTGTATGTGTTTCAATGAAGCAGCTGAAAACTGATTCTCCTCTCCCTTCCGCAGCTTTCAGCTGCTTCACTGAAAGACAGATAGGTGATCGCTGTTTGACACTGTCCCACTGTCCCCACTGCTGCCCCTCCCACACACCAATAGTCCCGTTGCTGTTTGCCCCCCCCCCCCCCCCATTTACACTCACCCAATGAGGTATATGCTTTGTTCATGTCTGAGGTTTACAACCATAATAAAGAGTAACTCCACTTTTGTTGAGAACAAACATTCCTCTCTGGGTGATCTATGTACAGTGCAAGGATTTTAACAAACTTTGGTTCAGAGTCCTACCTTTGTTATTCTGAAGAAGTAGATGTTTGTTTGCCTGTGTCCATGTGAAGAGTGAATCTGTATGGGAGTGGTTTTATCATTATCAATCAGCTGCTGCACGAAAGAGGAAAGTGGCAGGGTCTTCATCCCTTTAGACGTGATTTCCCATTTCTCACCAAAAATGACATTTTTGTTGCAGGGGATGCCAAAAAATCTGACTTGTATCTTAGTGCTGACTTCTGGGAAAATCAGTAAGCCAATCACAAGAGCAGGAAATGATGTTTCTGAGGGGGGCATTCTGTACACCTTCTGGGTACAGAACACCTCCACATAAACATATTGCATTGCATTTTACAGAAAATCACAGCAGTGCAGATTAAAAGGGAATAACATTAATTTACAATATGGGTTGAGTCACAATTGTAAACGCTATATTATTATTTTTTTTTTTATTTGCTCATTTTTTTCCCACAAAAGTGGTGTTACCCTTTAACATCTTCCTGACCGCACTATAGCCAAAAAGACGGCTACAGCACGATCGGCTAGTTCTGGGAGGGCGTCCATGGATGTCTTCCCAGAACCACACCCCCCGTGCGTAATCTATGATCACTCTGTCCTTCGGACACAGCTGATGGCGTGTCCTAGTAGGGGGCCATTAAGAGCCGCCTTTTACATGTGACCAGCTGTGTCCAATCACAGCTGATCACATGTAAACAGGAAATTCCAGTTACTGGCAGTCCTCTCCTCCTGCTGACAGCGCATGAGAGGAGAGCCAGTAAGCGGCATTTCTCAAAGGGACATCTACACTGATCATCAGGGCACTGATCATCAGTTCCCTGATGATCAGTGTAGCCCCATCAGTGCAGCCAATAATGCCCTTCTGTGCTGGCTTTCAGTGGCCATCTGTGCTGGCTTTCAGTGGCCATCTGTGCTGGCTTTCAGTGCTGGCTATCAGTGCCTCCTCAGTGATGCCTATCAGTGCCCATCAGTGCCACATATCAGTGCAGCCTCATCAGTGCTCATGAGTGCAGCCTGTCATTGCCCATCAGTGCAGCCTCATCAGCGCACATTAGTGAAGGAGAAAAATCACTTACCTACAAACCTTTTTAACAGAAACTAAGAAACACTATTTTTTTCACATTTGGACTTTTTTTTTGTTTGTTTAGCAAACAATAAAAACCCCAGTGGTAATTAAATACCACCAAAAGAAAGTTCTATTTATCTAAAAAAAATGCTAAAAATTTATTTTGGGTACAGTGTTGCATGACCTGCGCAATAGTCAAAGTGTGACAGCGCTGAAAATTGGTTAAGTGCAGAGCAGAAAAACTCAAGTGTTTGGGGTTAACTTTTGTGTGTACATGTATATATATATATATATATATATAGAGAGAGAGAGAGAGAGATAGAGACATATATATATATACGTATATATACAAATTTACACACACATATATATATATAGACATTTATATATATGTCTATATATATATAGATAGATAGATAGATATATATATATATATATATATATATATATATATATATATAGATAGATAGATATATAGATAGATATATATATATATATAGATATATATATGTATGACATACATATATATCTATCTATCTATGTATATGTGTGTATATATATATATATATATATGAATTTACCTCAGACCTTTGTCTATTTTCACACTCATGTTTCTATGCTGACGTCACGGCCAGCCGCTCACCTCATTCATTGTTTACCTTGTTGGCTTACCTGCAAAACCTTCTTATTCATTCTCTCCACCAATCGGAGGACCGAAGGGGTGGGGTTATAGCTCAAAGGACGCCCGGCCTGTCACGCCCATAGGCTCCATCTCGCGAACGCGCCTGCTCTCTGGTGTAGGAATGTAAGTGTGGACGTGCTGTACACGGGAACGCGCGGGTCAGGGGAGGGGGCGTGCCCAGGCCTCTGCTGCCATCGCTGGTACTGAGTAGGAGGTGTCGGAGCAGTGCCTGTTTCCTTCCTTTTCTGTGAAATCAGCATTGTTTACTTTCAGCACTGGACACCGTCTATCTGTCCAGAGCCAGCATCGGCTGCGTCAGTGTCCAGCACCAGCAGCATCCAGTGCTCAGCCTTCATCTCCATGTCTGTGTTTATTAATATACACCTCTCTATAGGGGATGGGCATTGTAGAAGTCTGTAGTAGGTAGATGGTGTCATTGTAGACATTCTCTGTGGCTGCTCACCTACCTGCACTGGAACATCATGAGGTTGTGCAGGTACCTGCTGAAAAACACCATCCCCAATCAGATCGAGTACTACTCCAAGTTCTCCCCCTCTCCTCTCTCCATCAAGCAGTTCCTGGATTTT